CGAGCTTAACTAAACCCGGCACAGACACCGAGCTTAGCTAAACCCGGCACAGACACCGAGCTTAACTAAACCCGGCTCAAACTCGGGCTCTGACACCGAGCTTAACTAAAACCGGTTCGGACAGGCACCAAGTTTAACTAAACCCGGCTCAAACACCGAGTTTAGCTAAACCCGGCTCGGAGCATCCCGCACTGCACGGGCTGGGCTGGGAATGTTCCACTGGGAGGGACCGGGCTGGGCTGGGAAAAGGGGATTGAGCTGGGAATGAGATCTGAGCTGGAAATTAAATCTAAACTGAGAATTAAATCTAAACTAGAAATGAGATCTGAACTGAAAATCAGAACTAAGCTGGAAATGAGATCTAAACTGGAAATGAGATCTGAGCTGGCAATGAGATCTGAACTGGAAAATAAACTGAAAATGAAATCTAAACTGGAAATGAAATCTAAACTGGAAATGAGATCCAAAATAGAAATTAGATTTAAACAGGAAAAATCGAAACTGAAAATAAAAACTAAACTAAAATTGAGGTCTAAACTGGAAATGAGATCTAAACTGACAATTAAATCTAAACCGAAAATGAGATCTAAACTAAAAATGGGGCCGAAACTGAAAATAAAATCTGAACTGAAAATGAGACCTAAACTAAAAATTAGATCAAAACTGAAAATGAGATCTAAATTCAAAATGAGCTCTAAACTGAATTTCTGGGTGCTCCTTTGGGGAAATGTCCCTGTCTCAGCTGATTTTTTTTTTTTGCTGCTCAGGGTTTCCAACCCCAAATCTCCTCCTCTGCCCCAGATCCCAAAATCTTCCCCAAATCCCGCAGTTCTGCTCCCCCAAATCCCGCAGTTCCTCTTCCCCAAATCCCGCAGTTCTGCCTCCCCAAATCCCACAGTTCCACTTCCCCAAATCCCACAGTTCTGCTCCCCCAAATCCCGCAGTTCCGCCTCCCCAAATCCTGGAGTTCTGCCTCCCCAAATCCCGGAGTTCTGCTTCCCCAAATCCCACAGTTCTGCTCCCCCAAATCCCGCAGTTCCGCCTCCCCAAATCCCGCAGTTCTGCTTCCCCAAATCCCACAGTTCTGCTCCCCAAAATCCCGCAGTTCTGCTCCCCCAAATCCCGCAGTTCTGCTCCCCCAAATCCTGGAGTTCTGCCTCCCCCAAATCCCGCAGTTCTGCTTTTCTCCCTGGTTCCGGTCCCTCTCCCTCCGCTCCAGGATCCTTTGGAATAAAACCGCAGGACCTGAGCAAAGAACGAGCGAGGGGTTTGTCCTGGATTTGGGGTTTTGGTCCAGGATTTGGGGTTTTGGTCCAGGATTTGGGGTTT